CGAATCCTTTCGCGTTGCAATCAATGTGTAATCAAAATGTCGTAGATTCTATGCAGCACCGCTCTTACTAGAGCTGATATTAGCAGGTTCTCTCAGGTTGAGCCCATGAGCCTGCTTCTACTACGCTTGTTTCTTTTCTTTACATCCCTTTTACTTAATATAGCTGAGACTATTTGTGTGTATCGTAATAAATATTTTGCAAACAATGAAAAGTGATGAATTTTTATTTGTTTATTACCCGATGCCTTACACCCACTTCACGCACATCAATCGGATACGTTATAGAACAAAATGTAACAAAGTATTTTGTTATATTCTCGCGAATTGTAGACATTTTTAAACTACCTTTACGATTTAACCTCGCATTTGTGACTGTCACTATATCTAGTGAAAAGTTAATTGATTTAAGGGACATTTCGCTTAAGACGCAACATTTATCTTTGTAATTAAAGATCCGTTTTATTTGGTATTGGTATCAACAAACAATACGTTTTTAATTGAACGTCAATCAAGCTTACCCCGTTAAAATAGCTAAAGAAGTTATGATATATTTTTTTCCAAATTTTAAACTTTTCATGGCTCTCCTGTGAGTAAAGTTGCAAAAATGTCACTTAAACAGTCGCCTTTCACCCCTGGATATTATTTTTGATGTTTGCGATACTTTACAGTAGTCGTGGTCTTTCGTGACCACGAAAACTGTAAAGTATTTAATTAAAATTCATTTTGGTGATTGATCGATCGCATTCTCTCAGCGGCCGCAGAGTAATTACGATTTTGTCAACGTTGCAATACGAGACTCGATTCACATCGTAAGCCAACAGTAGGTACCTATGGTACTAATGTTTGGTGAAATTTCTATCAGGACTCATTAAGAAACCATTACGGATGCGAAGCTCGACCCCTGTTTCTTCTTTTCTAAAAGAAAGCGAAAAGAAAACTTGGCGGTATGCAAATGTTAAGGCTGATGACTTTGCGCCCCTTAATTCTTTTGGGTTGTTTTGACTTTTTTCTCTTGGGGCCAATCAAGGAAAAACTCTTTGAGTAGATAATGCTCCCAACTTTATATCGTTGTGACGGTTTTGCGGAAAAATGTATTTTCTAAATTTACAAAATTCTGCTAACCATAAAAATATGCATACTTGATTGGTAAAAGGTTATTCACTTTAAAATTTACTTTAATTCTTAGATTACCTAGTGAAGGGTCTGTCTGTAAAGTAATTACTGGAGTCCGTAGACATATCACTACGTGAGCGCAGCCTTGAAACATGAGTTCGAAGTTCCAATTGTACTGTAAAACCCACCACCCCTCAAAGCGGATCGCATGACTGCTTCGCGACAAACGTGACACCCACCAGGGTTCACACCGGATCTCACAGAGATCCCTCTATGCTGGTTTAATACTCAGAGAACGCTGCTATCCATTTTCCGTTGATTCTCTTCCCTTAGTGAATGAAAGCGGACCATTTATTTACCATGTTATACCTATATAATATATCCTAAATGTAGGAGAGCTTATAGGAAAATCAGATTTAGTTTGATTTAACAACATGAACCAAATAAAACCTACCAAAGTATAGTTTGTAAATAAACAACCCGCAAACAAGAATAGGTTTATGCAACAAAGACCCAAAATAAATTAGCAAAAAAAACGAATTTAAAGAACTTAAATATGGGATGAGAGTTTTAGGTTAACGAAAACATACTTTTTTTTCGTTTTGTAATTATAAATATAAGCCAACATCGGAGCTTCCAAATTGTAAAACCTGTCATTTCAAGAAAACTTGCATACCACTCTATACTCTATAAATCTATTTTTAGTTCAAGTTATTCGGATTGTCGAAGTGTGACCTATTATGTTAGAGCTAAGTTTAAATCACTCAAAGATCTTCCATTTGCACTAATAAAACACTCAAATATTACGTCTATTTTTAAAAGTTATTCTTAATGAAATTTAAGCGATAGCTGATCGGGTTGTCCATTATTTTCGTTTAAAGTAACTATAGTACCTACAGATGAAAATGTCCTGCCTCTTTTTGATAATCATGAAATAAGATTGTACACGATTAAATCAAAAATACTCCAGTAAGTACAAAGCATACAAAGCACTGTGACGGTTTCTCCAACTAGGTCAATCGATGCCAGATCCGCGGAGGCACTGATTATAATAACAATATCGGCCAAATCAAAACTTTTCCTATTTCCCGACAACTCGCGCCCACTTTATATCGTGTGAACTCGATCGACTTTAGTACGGCAATCGTATTATCATAAGGAAAAAGAGAAATTTTGACCTGAAAAATGATAGGGGCCATAATATAAATTCCAAATATCGAATAGACATTTACGTGGCTTCTATGGGTTCGGTGACTAATTACGAACTGCCCGGTCATCGTTGTCATCGAACCAATCGCTTGCGACGGAGGGCTTGGCGAGTAAATTAACCCACAGACAGAGCACACTGAGTTTCTCGCCGGATCTTCTCAGTGGGTCGCGTTTCCGTGGTAGATTCTGCGAAGCACGACTCTTGCTAGAGTTCGTGTTAGCAACATCGTCAGGTTTGAGCCCCGTGAGCTCACCTACTGGTCACGCCGGCGACGCTAACATGGTCTTTCTAGACCATCAGCTTAGGTAGAAAAAAAAAAAGAACATAATAATATGGTTCGTGACCTCGTTCACCAAATTGGTAAAATAAAAAAAAACATCACAGCAGCTGTCCCATTCTTTGAGTCACCAATTGAGACTGCGCCCTCATGTTGGCAGCGGCATTTACGTTATGATATCAATGGGCTCCAGTGTCAATTTTAAATCAAGTGGTGTTCAGTCATCATCAGTTGAACAAAGACTGTTATGGTGAGCCCGTCTGGACTTACTCACCGATCCTCCAGATATTACACAAAACTATATTACTGCGGATCGTGTTTCCTTCACGCTGCCACTTTCATGTTGAAACTTGTCCTTGGCAAAAATCTTAGGTAATTTTAACACAAAAACAATCAGAAACTGGTGAAGATTCCTTTCAACATAAAACATTTTCAAGATCAATTCATTACGTTTCACTCATAAAATTAACAATCTTTCAAACCAGGGGTCCGCGGACCGCCAAACTGTATTTCATTTTAATGCGCTAAGGGCTACCCGGCCGTCACTCTTAGCGCCCTCCATTCAAAGCGCTAATTACAACTTCAATTAAATTTTTCATTACGCTTAATTGCGAACATTACAGCTCTCCACTAATATTAGGGAAAATAAATAAAACAACCCCGTTAATTTAACATTTATTTTGTACATACGCGTACTCATCGATACTAAAGAAGCTTATAATAAAGAGTTCGCGTTGAACGATATACACAAAACAAGATAATTTAAAAAATATAGATTAAACGCCCAACACTATGTATTCATGTAGTTAGAATTACACTGTTTACTGGTCTTAGCGCAACTTTAGCCAATAACAATGTTAACGGGACGTTGACAGGGTGTCAGACGTTAAACACTAATTAGCCGTAAAAGTTTTCTTTCGGTTTTGGAAACAAAAATACAAACGTGTGGCACTCGGGAACTGCCGCGGTAAAGCTATTGCATAGCATTTTTATCAACTTATGCAATTATAATTAGACAATGATAATTTAATATTAAAACAATAATAAAACAAGACCACGCTATATTAAACATTAATAAAAGCAAAACATTAACTGTCCCCTTCACACTCATAAGCTAGACCGCGCGAGAGAGATGATGATGCGCATGCAGTGTGACGTCACGCCACGCGCTTATTCATAAACACTACACAAGCGCTACGTGTGAATGTGTTGAACGCGACCTACATGGTAGGCGGAGTGAGGGGTGTTAGGTTTTTTTCGTTACGGAATTTCATGATTCGGTCGCCGCGCTCAAGGCCCGCGATAAAAGCTATGCAATAGCTTAAAAAAACTGAACTTTAAAATCATTTATCTTCAAATTTAAGATTTAACGTATTTTTCGTGTCGTCATTATTAGATAGAAAATTATTATGCACCCATTGAGCGTTTAAGAGATCGTACATAATTTTTAAAATACAATATAATTATAGATTATTTATAATACAAAAATGTGTGCATCAAAAATAACGATTATAACTAAACAAAATAAAAGCGAATAACAATGGTTGTGTATTTTTAAATTAATCACCTAAAAATACAGTCTTTATAATATTACAAAATATCATGAAATAATTTCAAGGTATGTGTTCATTAAAAGGTATATATTTATGATATAAACTAATAGATTTTTTTTGCTGTCTATACTTTGGAATCATAGATTACGTTGCGTCCAGAGACAATCACATTACGTCCTAAAATGTTTGGAATAGCAAATTACACAACCTCACGTAATAAGCAAATCATATGACTTAATCTTCATCACGTTAAATATAAATCCTATCTAAATAACACATTTAATACGTAATATTTTTGTATGATTTTTTCTTTAAAAATTATAAGCACCTAATGTAACAATAATAATACTTAAATATAAATATAAATGCTGAACAACGAAAGGCAAAACACTTCACAAAAAAAATGCAGTATGCATACGTGGCCCATTTACATTTTGATAAAATTGATCTAATCTACTTGATTTTAAGGTTCATAAATATGTATTTAAAAGAATTTGCTTTACTTCGACGATAAGGTTGTTTCTAGTGCTTGTCTAATGGTTTTCAATAAGAAAACATAATATACAAGACACATTGCAGAAAATAAATTTATATACATATATTTCGATTTGACGTATAATATATTATCAATAATTCAATTAAAACTTATTGTAAATGAGACCACATTTTAATCCCATTAGACGAGACAGCCGTTACGGTGACGACTGGGCAAATCATATCGACCATTAAGCGAAGGACATTAACACATGCGGGATACAAACTCAAATCGAGCGGGTAATGTTAGTGAGCAGGATGTATTAAGCAAGTTCTCTGTGTATAGTATATTTCAAACCCTTGAATGTGTACTATATATACTTTTAGTTTTGTATAGATACGTCCAACATAGATTTAATTTTTTTCTCTATTGCTTAAGTCATATTTCTAATTCATTAAAGTAAATGAACGAGGAATGGAAATTTAATTGACTCGTTAAGTTTTTTTTCAACTGAAAATAAATTTCTATTCGATTTCAAAACTATCTTGAATATTTAAGACGTATCTATACTTTGAATTTTTAATGCGCGTGCATTATACGCAGTATATACAGAACCTTGTGCTTTCGAATACAATTTCTATTCATTCATTCATTCGTTCGTTCAATACAGCGTATAAATAAGATATTACGGTGTCTATCTATCTACACTCGGTGCAAGGAATAGAGCGGGTAAAAAAAATATAAGGACCGACTAAAACGAAGCGTTTCAAAACAAGAAAAAAAAAATCAAACCGATAAAGTGCAACACGTCAAATATTATCTCTACGAATATATTTTTTTTTTTATTATTTTTTTTCATTATTTAAATATATTTTTCACGTGTATTCTAAAAATGCAATTCTATTTTACAAAGATGACGTCGAGTCTTGGAACGCTCCCACAACCGCATCGATGCAGTTGTTTGAGTATTCCAAAGCTCCGGACTTGCCTCGAGCGAGGCAATCCTATTAACTATTCGAATAACGTTTACCAGCTGACATGAATTACGCACTTTCAGCAAAGAAAAATATGTCAAAACACTACAAACATTTTTTTTTTCGACTTGCGACTAGTGAAATCAACTCTACTCGACCATTTATCGATTAGTTGTTTTTTTTTTTTTAATTGCATAATACCTCGATTAGTTCGTCCACGAATTCGCTATTTTTTTTAAGTTACCCCTATCTATCAGACACCTTGTTACGATGGTTACGTTTCGATACTTCAAATCTTTCACTACTTTCACGCAATCATATAGTTTGTATATGAAAAGGAAAGTCATAACTCCGAAGCGCGGTCGGCTCGACAGTATTCTGACTCTCAAAACTGTATCTCGTACAGTTTCGACACCAAAACCCGCCTCGGCGATCGTACCGTTTCGATTACGCTCCGTACCCGTAGTGCTGTAACACTTACTTTTTTGTCGATAATTCCTACGAAAGTTTTTACCTTAAGTTATAGCCAATTTCTAATAAATTAAATTTATTTAAATTTTGATAATTCGATGACATACATATATCACGAACAATACTAGTGTTTCGTGATGCAATGTGAATTTCTTTAACAATCCGAGACATGATTTTAAGACCCGATATTTTTTTAGGTTTTATGAAATTTTCTATTTTTTTAAATTAAACAATAAAACATCAAAGACGATTTCCATTATAGACACTAAAACATTTATTACGTTCTGTCAACGCTGATTTTAAAAGGACGTATAAAATGAATAATGTGTACATACAAATCGGGCCTTTATCACGTCTCCATAAGTTATATATTCGTTTGTAGTGAGGTTGAATGTGGTCGCGTGTGTTGCGGTCCGGACAATGGTACCTAGAGTTGACGTACAGTGAACTGTCATCGGGTGGTCTCAGGGCATCTACTCGCCAACGTCCTCACTGATCGTGTCGCTCGCTTTCTCTTGGGAAATGTTTTGACCTACGGACAACAAAACAAAATATAGGGATGACTGGGAATACATTTCGAAAAAGCGGCACAACACGAGAACCCTTTCATCGTAGCCGCCGGTAACTAAATTTCCGATCCTGCAAACCGAATAGTAAACAGTCGACATCGCCCTAAACACGACATTTCGGATCCTCGCGATCCCTAACGGTGCTTTTAGGTACCCCAAGCACCGGTCATCGTTCTCGGCGAGCCCGTCGTTTGCGACGAAGGGTTCGACGAGTAAATTAACACACAGACATAGCCCACTGAGTTTCTCGCTGGATCTTCTCAGTGGGTCGCGTTTCCGATCCGGTGGTAGATTCTGCAAAGCGCTGCTCTTGCTAGGGTTAGTGTTAGCAACGTCGTCAGGTTTGAGCCCCGTGAGCTCATATACTAATTCGGTGAATCTAGAATAACCCCCGGAGGTAACAAGGACAGGTAGGAAATAAAAAAAACTCAGAATAGAGAAAAACAGACTTATATACCGGAACGCGAGTAGTGACTTTATATGATTTGATGATTAAGCTTTTAGTTTTTCTGAAAATGGTCTGTGAAGTGTGTAAAAATTTAACAAATCACTAGACGTGACTTCTCAGATTCCTCAAGAAATATACCATTGAATAATAATAATAATATCACTATTATATCAGAGCTCATTTCATTTTCGTTTTTCGCCTGTGACTTTCGCTACAGAAAACACTTCACTCCATTCAGTGAAGCAGCTCATTAGCTACGTGATGTTTCTAGTCCAAATGGATTCTTCACTGAACGGAGATCCTACATGAAATTTAATTAATACATACATGATATAACCAAATAAAATCAAATGGACTCTATTATCTGTTAAGATAAAAAAATCAAATTAATTTCTTAAGATGATTAAATTTTTTAAATTTATTTGTTATGTACATTTTATCTCGATTTCACATACCCTTTTTCGCTGATGAAAGTATGCACTTCTTGCAGCTTATGAAGAAAAAGGAGACACGTTGGAGTTCGGCGTGGAAGGCATTAGGTCCATGGTCTTGCACACCCATCCAGCGATGTCCACCTTCTCGGCTTCCGCCTTCCGGATCCACTCGTGATTCTAGTCAATTATACACATAATTACAAATTAAGTACTAGTACAGTACAAGTAATTATCAACGAGTACAAGTAATTAAGTACATATTAAGTAAGTAATTGAGGGGAATAGAGACTAGAGTAGAGTAGAGTAGAATAGGTACAAATCCTGTTGTTAGATTTAACTTTGTTGAACTGAAAATGACTTTTATTTAGTGTATAAGAATATTAAATAGTTCAGTTTAGTCATCAAAATTTTGTAACTCATTAAAGATATTAGAAAGTTAATTACCTAAAGCCAGCCCTATCGAAAAACTATTTGTGTTTTTGTGTGTATCTTGTAATTTTTAATCTCAATTTTATTGGTATTACCCTAAGAAAAACCATTGAAAATTTGTGTTGGATTTGGAAAGGGTCCCGATTTCGCCCAATCTACTTACAGTGTTTGATTTACTGCAAATATGAGTGAATTGGCTGTCAACTTACATGATATTAAATGGTTACCGGCGCCCATAGACGTCACACCGCCACCCAGCTTCAGACATGAGGTGGAAAGTCTCATTTCTATTGTATAACAGCTGGTCTACCCTTCAAACTGTTCTAATTGCTTCGCAGCAGATATAGGCAGGTTGTAGGACCCAATCGGTGCACAAGTAAATGTGAATTACTCAAAGAACATTTCTCTCTTCATTTTATCCTCAGGTGAATCCCTAAGCCATTCACGACACCCAGGGAAGAAAGAGGTTCGTTTTGGTATTATGAGCTGATAAATGCTGATAATAATAATGTTATTTTAAAATATAATTTTTTATGTTTACCATTAAAGTCTTCAAGTCCGCTCTCTCATCAGGATTTTTCTTGAGACAGCGATCCACGAAATCTTTAAATTCATCAGAGAAGATGCCAGATGGAAGCTTCGGTGGTGGTTCATTGACTATGTAATCTAAGAGCTCGAATATGGCCATTGGACGCGGTGAATTCGGCGCCTGTTAAACATTCAACTATGTGTACAATGTTCTTTTTAGTTTTTACACTGTCATTTGTTAACTACTATAAATATTAAGTCCTCAACCAATATGGAATATTTCTGTATAGTTAATATCATGAACACTTTGATGACATTAATTGAAAGTCGCTCAGCAGTTACGAATCAGTATGGGTGAACATAAGACAAACATGTTGAAAATTAATGAAACAGATCAAGTGATTTGCTGTGGTAGATTAAGAAATTGCTTTTACAATATTACTCCTTGTATGTATATTGTGAGATATATACACTGCAAAAGCAGAGAAAGAAAACTCTCTTTATCACAATTATTAGAAAAACTTTTTTTTTATTGCTTAGATAGGTGGACGAGCTCACAGCCCACCTGGTGTAAAGTGATTACCGAAGCCCATAGACATCTACAACTTAAATGCCGCCACCCACCTTGAGATATGAGTTCTAAGGTCTCAGTATATTTACAAACTCTGCCCCACCCTTCAAATCGAAATGCATTACTACTTCATTGGAGGGTGGTGGTACCTACCCGTGCGAACTCACAAGAGGTCCTACCACCAGTAAATGCATTGTATGCATTGCAAAATATTGGAAGCATGTTTTAAAACTAAAGCCGTACATGTCTGCCAGTGGTGCTAGTTAATCATAATTAAAATTTACCTGGCCCGGTGAGTGGTCCTCATTCTGCCCACCAAATATAGCTGCCAATGTTTTAGCGTCAGGAGGTGGAATTGGATACATTCCAATGGCCATTTCGACTAGAGACAAACCCAACGACCAGATATCTGACTGCACTGAGTAATGAGTGCCTTGCAGACGCTCCGGCTGTGTAAAAAAGTATCAATATTGAATTTTAAACATTTGATTCTATTTTTCATTGATGTTCTGGTCAAATTTTAATTTAAATTTTTATAAAAAAAATCGAATTCAACTCACTGACATATAGCTCCTGGTACCAACAAAAGAATTAGCCATTGAATCTATCAGCTGCCCCGAAACACCGAAATCACAGATCTTAATCTCGCCATTGCTGTTAACAAGTATATTCGACGGCTTCACGTCACGGTGCATGATGGCGTGCTTATCGCGAAGGTAGCTCAAACCTTTGAGAACTGCTGATGTGATTGTTCCTAAAAGAGTTCACAATATTATTCTAGGGTTATTCTAATTCTTCTATTAAGGTCTATTCTAATCATTGGTTATAGAAATATACAAAAATTAATATATATAAATGTGCAAGCTGATCACTGATGCGTTTATATCGACGCTTGAAAGGCAAACGTGACTAAGCGACAATGCGTTAACTTTACAGTAGACTAATTTAAAGTTGAAATACCTGAAAAAAATTCTATTTTAACGAATCTAGCTGTAGGATTGAAATGATTTTAATAGACCTAGAAATATACTTTTTTTTGCGCATCGAATATGGTAATTGCCTATCATTTATGAACAAATCAGTTATTGTCACTTAGTCACGTTTGCCTTTCAAGCGTCAATATGGTTCCAATAACATCAGCAGTGCTAAGAGCTCAATCAAGCTGCTGTGTACCAACACTGCTGATTTTTTTTAGAATACCCTCAACTAACAATAAGTGGTTTAAGATTAGTTTAAAGAAAAATCAACAGTTAATATATTCTTGTAGCATTCTAGCAGAATAGGTAATTTAGCAACATTAATAAACAGATATGTGGCACCAACCTTTCAACTACAACTAATGACATGTGCAATGGGATATTGCAACAAAGATACAAAATAATACAAATAGATGATTTTTATTATCATGTAAGAATTTCTAGCGATTAATTATTAATTTGATGTAGCATAGATCAATTAAATGTTACCTAAAATAGATTCAGGAATTCTTCCCGCCTTCTTCAATATAAGATCCAATGACCCTCCATCCATGTATTCCATGCATATAGAGATCTCGCCATCACTATAGAATGCTCCATAGAAGCCAACTATATGTGCAAAGTTACATTCATGAAGTACTTTTAACTCTCTGATTATCTGCTTTTTTATAGCCGGTTTCACTTCGAGATGAATCAACTTGCGTGCCATGATGAGTCCGGTAGATTTGTGACGAACTTTCATTACAACTCCACCGTTGCCTTGGCCTGAAATTTTATAATAATTAAAAGTCACTAACAATGTATATAATTAGTTATTCTTTTATATAGTTTAGTTATTCTTATTTTTCAATTACATTTTTTACTTTTCCTGAAATTACCAATTATAGGGTAAGTTTAATTAAGCATTTAAAGGTCATCACCAAGTTAAACTTTGAAGTTGTCAGTAAAGTAATTTAAAAATAGCAGTAAATTAAAATACTAACTAGTACAAATATTATTTTAGATACTTTATAAAATCACTAACCTAATTCACCAAGCTTCTCAAAGTCATCATCACTCAGCTCTCCGATCTTCTCTTTCTGACAGAGGAATACTTCTATCCTGCGCCTCTGAGTATCATCCATCTCAATTTGCTCCAATCTCTCAGTTAAAGCCTCTATACTTGTCTTTGACTTGCCTGCTAACCCTTGCCGCCTACAACAATTTTACAGTAACATAAAAAATTTCAATGTAAATATATATGCTTATATATATTATTAAGAAGCCAGAAATGCAGTATATACTTGGTGCCACTCCATTTATATGGAGGACCATAATATCATTGTTGTGATGTTCATTGGCTATATTTATCACTATATAAAGAGGTAGGCTATGAATTTGGTCACCTGCCTAAGCAATTAACAAATAAAAACTGTTAAAGATAACTCTTGTAATGTAAAGCATTAGAAATGTTGGAAATAATAAAATGAAAATAATAAATACGAAAATAAACCATAACAAGTGTTTTAATGATATCTGAGAATCAAAAATTTAACTTCTATGATTATAATAATGAATTTCTTAATAATTTTAGATTTGATAATAATACTTTACTGCTGTACAGATTATTAAAATCCCTATTTAATAGCTTCAACCTCATAACGAAGTTTCATTATTTATATACTTACTCATTTGCAGTAGCCGATTTGAGCTGTGGTGTCATGTTAGATGGCGTGGCAGCTGGGTTTGTGTCTATTGACCCTGGTGGAAGGGTCAAATTCAGTTTGTTCTTTGACATCTTACTCATTTTGATTTTTTAGATCTTCCCTCATCCATGAAGTATCTACAACAGTTGATTTATTATTAAATAAGAGGCTTTAATTTTTTTGAGGTTTTTGGAAATTTAATGACAAGTTCTAAGTTTCTTGCCAGTGTAAGCCAGCTATGTCTGCGTCTTTAAGTTTTGTGAAGACATTTTTGTTTTGGTAAATAAGCTATTTCAGGTCCTAGGTTATCTCGAAAGTATTAAAAAAAAAAAACACTATTTTCCCCTTAAATATAATCTGCTGTCTATATACTGTAATATATCTGTACTATTGGTTTCTGATAAAAAAAACAATGTTTTTGTTGTTTGGATTATTCATTTTCTTGAGTAAAATTTTTGGTTAGAGTGCCTAATTATGATACTAATGATTAATATTTGAAATCTATTAATACTTAAACAAAAAGCATGTAGCAAAGAGCCATTATGAATTGAATTCAATTATTATTTTCAAACGAAGTTTTTCTTAATTTTAAATGGAAATTTCATCGAACACCGCAAAATTTATGAACAACAAAAAGCGTTGTAAGAAAAAACAAGATTCATACTCATCAAATACCCATTTGTCAAGGCATTATTTTATAACGTTCACACAGCAACGGTATTTCTTACAAAAAAATTGAAACACAAACAAAACTACTCAAAAAGAGTCCCAAACCCAGCAATTAATGTCGGAAAAAACCTTAATTGAAAAGAAAATGTAAATCGAATATTCGTCACTCGCAAATTTTTTTGCTGTAAGTAGATATGTCATTTTTTTGATTCGTCTTTTGGATAGGCAAAGAGAATATGACCCAAACGGCTTAACTACTCTTTTGAAACAAAACCTGAAGTTATAAAAAAAAAATAGAACTAGATTCTATAATTTACCGAGAAACCAAGTTGAGCTACATTTTTTTTCAGCCTACTACTCGCAAAAAATTCAAATATATCAAGTGATAATAAAAATTACCTGATTTCGCTAAGATCACATTTTAGACAAATATTAATATAGCCAAACAATATTTAACAACCTAATAAATGCATAAAAATAATAATTATTTAGGTAAAGCTACTTATAAATAGAAAATCTGCGTTAGCTCACCGCCGGTTGGCAGAGTTCCCAGAAGGCTGGCAGCATTTCCACGCTGGATAGCAATGCTAATTTTTTGTGCAAAATACGTACCGGCCTTCTGGTCTCTCGAGGCCTCAAAAAGTTTTTTTTAAGGTCCTTACAAAAGCTTTTAGCAGATGGGCCCCAGGGGCCCAAAGTTTCCAGCCTTCAGCCATTCAAGCAGCGCTGCCAATTATATAATCAAATTATCTAATAACCAAAATATTGATAATAATATTAAACGATTTATGTTCGGAATTCTCATAACATTTTTTCTTCTTCAACAAACAAAAATTTAAGTAAAGGATAAGGTATGTACCTATGTATAATAAGGTATTGTAGGGTATGTACAAAACAATGAACAAGAATATTGATGTTATGTCATGTATGTAAATCGAAATATAATGGATTTCTTCCAAGCAACTTGATAGGAAGTTAATTTATTTCATAAAAATGATAGTGGTTATCTACGTTGCAAGTAGTACTGTAGAAATATAGGTAGAGTGGCAAAGATATTAAAAAAAAGTGTCAACACATACTATTACCTAAATTGAACAATATAAGTTACTGGGTGGTGGCCATGGAGATAATAAGTAGTACCTACAAGTGGTGGCATTCACGTTGTGATGTATATGAGCTCCAGTAACTCTCTGAGCTGCTTTGCTCGTTATGCTCTCCAGGTTCTGAGCTGCTTTGCTCGTTTATGCAATTAAAAAATCAAACATAAAACATGAGAAAAAAAAATTTGAAAAATACTATTAGATTGGAATAAGATTATTAAAATTCATTGACATGCTGCTTTAATATATTCTTCGTCTTTTAAGTATGGCAATTGGCTTCTTGCGATACCATTGTTGCCAAATTGTCCTGTTTATAAAAATCTTCAATTATCAAATACCTACCTTCAATTATAAAATAAATAATTAGAAAATTTGAAATTTTCCGTTATATCAAAAACTACCAGCCCGCTCCGGCTTCGCTCGGGTCTTTAGCAAAAATTTCAACGACGTTGTTTTACTTTTTTATATAAAAGAACACTTATTGCGGCATAACTATAATAGTTAGACATATGCTGTCGCGACACTTTTTGTAAATAATAATATGTTCTACAAAGTCGTAGTACATTATTTTATTCCGTCATCAATAGTTTTCGCAGGGCACGCAATGTAGAGAATATTTTAGGCCATTTTTTTACACCTTGGGTTACATTGTTGGAGTTTTAGTATGGATCCCTAATTTTTTTCAAAAAAGATTATAGTCTATGTCACTCGGGAATAGTGTAGCTTCCAAACAGTGAAAGAGATTTTCAAATCGGTTCAGTAGTTTTGGAGCCTATTCAATACAAACAAACAAACAAACAAATCTTTCCTCTTTATAATATTAAGTATAGAAGTATAGATAATGGAGCGAAATGAGATTTAATTTAGTTTATTCATTTGAGACTGTAATCAATTGAGATGAAATTAAATGAAACGAGATGAGATGAAATAAAGGCTTAGTAAGATTATGGTTATTTACTGAGACTTCAGTGGACTTTTAAGAACTTATAAAGCCACGTCCAACGGCTGTTTAATTTTTCCAAATTTGTGTATTTTAAGATGCCAAACAGTAAATAATGTACTATTATTACACGTTTAAACCTGAAGAAATACTAAATTAACAAAACTATTCAGACAGCTTTGCTCATATTCTCGCAAAAAGACCTCAAGAAATTCAGTGTAATGAAGAGTGAAGTAATGTGGTTCAAAGTCCAACAGCCACTAGAGAGTATCTTTAACATAGTTTTCTGTTGAAACTATCGATGAACTTCATTCATATTGCGTAGTGGCATTTTAAGAGGACACTACGTATTGATCACAGATTAATTTACTAGTTATTTATACCTTTAACCCTTATTGTATGTTCGAGTTTTGACACAAGATTGATATCTCAACCCGGAACAGATATATCAATCACTGTTCTGTACATTGTGTTTAGTATACCCCTACGAATAAATAGACTTATTATTTATTCATAGTTATACACATTTTTTTTTTTTTTTTTTCCTACCTAAGCTGAGAGCCTTGAGAGGCTATGTCAGCGTAACCCTAACTTTTGTAGGTGAGCTCACGGGGCTCAAACCTGATGACGTTGCTAACACGAACCCTAGCAAGAGCCGTGCTTCGCAGAATCTACCACCGGATCGGAAACGCGACCCACTGAGAAGATCCGGCGAGAAACTCAGNAGATTCATAAGCTTACCACTAGGTGGCACTGATACAACCTCACACAAATTAAACATAACATTAACATCGACTGAGTAATTAAAAAAACTCGCACTAAGCACAGGTACATTACCCATTACCCGACTAATTATAAATATCGTTAGAAAGCTTGGCATTTCAATTAAACGCCTTAAAAAAAACCTTGCGTGCTACCAATATAAAAGAAAAAATTATCGCTTCTCAAGTTGAATAAACGTCCTGCAAATCGAGTAACTCGCACTCAGAGCTCCGCACGTTTCACCGTGAAGAGCGTACACTCGATGCGAGTCATTCGATTCGATTTTTGAAACTCGCACTAAGCCTACTGGTCTCCCGAGGCCTCAAAAAGTTTTTTTTAAGGTCCTTACAAAAGCTTTTAGCAGATGGGCCCCAGGGGCCCAAAGTTTCCACCCCAAACGGAACAAAAATGAAATCTTTAGAGAGATTTTCATATTTCCGTCGTTTGAGGCCTTCAGCCATTGAAGCAGCGCTGCCAATTATATAATCAAATTATCTAATCACCAAAATATTGATAATAATATTAAACGATTTATGTTCGGAATTCTCATAACATTTTTTCTTTCTTCGACAAACAAAAATTGAAGTAAAGGATAAGGTATGTACTTTGATCAATATAGTATTGATCGAAGGGTATGTACAAAACAATGAACAAGAATATTGATGTTATGTCATAAATCGAAATATAATGGATTTCTTCCAAGCAACTTGATAGGAAGTTAATTTATTTCATAAAAATGATAGTGGTTATCTACATTGCAAGTAGTACTGTAGAAATATAGGTAGAGTGGCAAAGATATTAAAAAAAAGTGTCAACACATACTATTACCTAAATTGAACAATATAAGTTACTGGGTGGTGGCCATGGAGATAATAAGTAGTACCTACAAGTGGTGGCATTCACGTTGTGATGTATATGAGCTCCAGTAACTCTCTGAGCTGCTTTGCTCGTTATGCTCTCCAGGTTCTGAGCTGCTTTGCTCGTTTATGCAATTAAAAAATCAAACATAAAACATGAGAAAAAAAATTATTGAAAAATACTATTAGATTGGAATAAGATTATTAAAATTCATTGACATGCTGCTTTAATATATTCTTCGTCTTTTAAGTATGGCAATTGACTTCTTGCGATACCATTGTTGCCAAATTGTCCTGTTTATAAAAATCTTCAATTATCAAATACCTACCTTCAATTATAAAATAAATAATTAGAAAATTTGAAATTTTCCGTTATATCAAAAACTACCAGCCCGCTCCGGCTTCGCTCGGGTCTTTAGCAAAAATTTCAACGACGTTGTTTTACTTTTTTATATAAAAGAACACTTATTGCGGCATAACTATAATAGTTAGACATATGCTGTCGCGACACTTTTTGTAAATAATAATATGTTCTACAAAGTCGTAGTACATTATTTTATTCCGTCATCAATAGTTTTCGCAGGGCACGCAATGTAGAGAATATTTTAGGCCATTTTTTTACACCTTGGGTTACATTGTTGGAGTTTTAGTATGGATCCCTAATTTTTTTCAAAAAAGATTATAGCCCATGTCACTCAGGAATAGTGTAGCTTCAAAACAGTGAAAGAATTTTTAAATCGGTTCAGTAGTTTCAGAGCCTATTCAATACAAACAAACAAACAAATCTTTCCTCTTTATAATATTAGTATAGAAGTATAGATAATGGAGCGAAATGAGATTTAAATACTTAGTTTATTCATTTGAGACTGTAATCAATTAAGATGAAATTAAATGAAACGAGATGAGATGAAATAAAGGCTCAGTAAGATGATGGTTATTTACTGAGACTTCAGTGGACTTTTAAGAACTTGAGAAGCCACGTCCAACGGCTTTTTAATTTTTCCAAATTTGTGTAGTTTAAGATGCCAAACAGTGAATAATGTACTATTATTACACGTATACGCCTGAAGAAACACTAAATTAACAAAACTATTCAGACAGCTTTGCTCATATTCCCACAAAAAGACCTCAAGAAATTCAGTGTAATGAAGAGTGAAGTAATGTGGTTCAAAGTCCAACAGCCACTAGAGAGTATATTTAACATAGTTTTCTGTTGAAACTATCGATGAACTTCATTGTATTGATCACAGATTAATTTACTAGCTATTTATACCTTTAACCCTTATTGTATGTTCGCGTTTTGACACAAGATTGATATCTCAACCCGGAACAGATATATCAATCACTGTTCTGTACATTGTGTTTAGTATACCCCTACAAATTAATAGACTTATTATTTATTCATAGGTATACCCTAATTAACTAAATTAAATATAAACAATCTAACATCACGGCTATGTGATGATTATTCTTGTCATCTTTCTTTTATAATTTCTATGTCAGGATGAAAACAAAAAAAAGTACAATATTAAGAAATGGGTTTATAATAATGTTGAAATAAAATTAGAACCTAGACAATACATTAAAATAAAATCAAGCTTATTTATTTACAGAAATCACCTAATGCTGCTTGTTAATGTAACTAGCTCTAATACTAAAATAATATGCTCAAATATTTAAATATTGTTCAATTACAAATGAAATATCATATTAAATTTACTATTCAATAAAATAATACAAATGAATCATTTGCACCATATGGTCAAACATTGAAGCATTAAGCAATCATGAGTTTTCAATTTTCTATTATATTTCAGAAAAGTGAAAACTCATGAAGACTTTAATTTAGTTAAAAACATATTTATGCCAGGTTGATTCTTTTTTTCGGGCCCAATCTTTTTGTTTTCAACTTTAGGCGATTTTCCTTCTTTTTCCTCTGATTTGGGCTTTTTCTTTTTTTCAGATTTATTGTTTTGTTCACTGTTTTCAGAATTAACAGGTTTCTTTTTCTTAACTCTTTTTTTCTCTTGTTCGTCAGGTTCACTCGAAGGTTGTAAGAAAGGCGTTGGATCATCAATAACCATGGCTAATTTCGAGAAATAATTCCATAAAGCGTCAACGCATTTACTAGGCTTACCACCATCACTACTTTCCCAAAGTGGGCCATACATGCGTGGTTTCAGTTTTTCGGTTGGTTTCTTCATTTCAGTTTCAAATTCATCCTCTAAATGTTTGAGCCTCGCCTTCTGTGTTTCAGGGGACAGTGATAGTACGTCATCATCTTCCATAGTTGCTTCCTATGAATATTTTAAAGAATATATGAAAGTCCGGTTAGATAAATAGTAAACAGGTTACTTTGACTTAAATAGTAATTAAGACTCATCCCCAACATATCAAAATTGGGGCGGCCTACCTCGAAACATGAGGTTGAAGTATAAACAAAATTGGAATACTGGAATACTTATTGGAAAATTATTTTAAACAGGATTTGAACTCGATATATGGTGGCATTTAATTTGCTATTTACATTTCTGATAACCAGGGGCGTGGGAACATGATGGAGATTCTTCCTTTAGTGGAATAACTGACCATGATTGGTTTTCAGTAGAAAATAGCAACACGGTTGAATCAACACTACATACTAAAATTTTGTTTTGTTGTGTCTGACTAAATCCTAATTTTAAAAGATATACGTTTTTATCATTTGAAGCTTAATAATAATATTAGGATAATTTATACAAACCTCATCACTAAGATATCCATGCGGTACAAACACTTCATTATCTACTTCATACTCATCAGCATCTTGGTCATCATCACTACCAACAGCACTACCATCAATGCTTTCACCCTCCTGTTCTTCTTCCCATTCCTCATCACTGTCGACTTCGTAGTCAAGTTGTTTCTGAAATACCAGATTCAATTGTTGTTAGTTGTTTACTTCTTCTTTTATCCTAACTACAGCTAGTAACGTCAAGGGGTTATACTAGCTTTACTGAATGGGTAGGCGAGTTTTGATTACATCTGCCCTAGCAACTTTTCCTAGTGGTAGGAAGTTTTGTGAGTGCGAATGGAAAGGTACCACCGTCCTGCCTATTTCTGCCGTGAAGCAGTAATGCATTTCAGTTTTGAAGGTTAAGGCAGCCATTGTAATGTAAAAACTGAAACCTTAGAACTAATGACTCAAGGAGGGTGGCGGCATTTACGTTGTAGATGTTTATGGGCTCCTTTAACAACTTAACACCATGTGGACCGTGAGCTCGTCCACCAATCAAAGCAATAAATAAAAGGAAAGAGACATACATACAATGTCAAATGAATTACCTCATCCTGTCCAAATGGTTTTCTAGGTTTGACAAATGTGGTTTTCTTTCTCCATGTTCCCCAATATGGGGGCCGTCGGTTTTCATGGAAGCTTAATAGTTTGGGTCTAAGCTTTTCACGAGGTGCTTGGTCGCAAGTTACGATTTCATCTTCTGCATCTATTGGTGGCAGTTCATCTTCTGTAAAAAAATATCAATGTATATTCATTTTGTTGTAAATATTTATTAGGATGTTCGTTCGTTATTGGCTGTAGTGGTCTTTTTTTTCCGGGCACGGGGCTGAACCTCCTACGAGGTCCCTGAGCCTAGAGGGCGCGCAGGGTATGTGGGACTTGACGATCTGCAAGGTGTTGGGAGCAGACCGCGGGCCCAAGGAATTTTAGGGCCCCACCCACTAAACGACTCCCCTGCACTCTTACACCCGACGTCCGATCTCCGTCCAGGGTCGCCCCGTGACCATCACCGGGAGGAGACTGCCTCCTTGGCTGTAGTGGTCTGGAACAACCCTATATTATCTCTTCCAGTTCATGTAGTACAAAGTGACTAATTCGCTAAGTGACTTTGCTACATTCTTCATTCTATGAATTTTTTACTAGCATGTTGTAATCGTTAACTGACATCTACTAGTGATATGATGTGTTGGAAGCCCACATGGGCAAGTGCTGTTGTCTTCTTTATTTTTGCAGCAAAACAGTCATGTGTTCCAAATTAAAGGGCAAGTAGATCCATTATGCAATACAATTGATACTTCGATCTCATGTTAAAAGGTGGGTGGTGGCAGTATCATTATTATGGCTATGAGCTGCAATAACCACTTCACACTGTGGGGGATCGAATCCATTCACATATACATAAAAAAAGAAGCATGTACTATTCGTGACTCAGTCTTTCTCAGTTCCACCAGAATGAGTGGACAAGCTTAGACTCGGCCAGGAGTAGAATTTAATAGCACTAGCACTGCCAAAACACCTTTTAAGAATGTCTTACAGTTGATGAGCAGCTCCTCTACAAGTGCACTTACTACCTTATTAGAATAGCTGTGCCAAAAATTAAAACTTATCTTTTTTCCCTTATCGAACCTTTGGCTATGGGGCTATTGCATTTACGCGCGCCTAATTAGAAGGGTAGGCGAGGTCACAGGACTCAACTTGAGACTATTTACTTACACTAAACCTAGCAATAGTGTCACACTAAATCTACCTCCAGATTAGAATCATGAACCACTGAGCAAATGAGTGGATTGTGTCTAAGGGCTAGATTGCAAGTCGAATTCTTTAGTAAGAAGAGTGGCCGTTGTTTGGGACGCTCAAAAGTACTGATACCGGATCTAGAGAATCCAATAAGTTGTGCTTAGGACAATGGTGGTTTTACGTTACCCTGTCGTCCATGTCGGTTATGTAATTAGAGGCGGCCACGAGGTGTCGCACCGCTTTTTCGAAGAAATAACTTACCAATAATCATAACATCATCGTCTTTGTCACTTAGAGGCCAGGTCTTGCCAGTAGAAAGAGGTTTACTGTTTCCATCCTTAAGGCATTTAAGATATAGTTCATGTTCTTTGCACTTCTGTTCCTTAATAAAATTGTCCAACTGATGTCTCTTATCATCACTCAATTCAGCTCTAGTTGTAGGTGCTAATCTCATGTCTAATTTTAAAGTAAAACTAGATAGCATATTATTTTTACTGATTGAACCAACTGTGGCTTGGTCTTTATCCGACTTTTGTTTTGGAACAAAAAAATTGACAAATGCTTCAACAGTCTTTTTCTTTTTGAGTTCTTGTTCTTGTTTTTCTAATTCTAAAGCCTCTTGTTTTTTTCTCTTCTCTTCCTCCTTTGCCTCTTTTTCCTTTCTTTTCTGTTCTTCTTTCTCTTCTTTTTCTTTCCTTTTCTGCTCCTCTTTTTCATCCCTTATTTCTGGAAGTTAATTATATAAATGAATTGCTGTTCGTTAGTCTCGCTAAAACTTGAGAATGGCTGGATCGATTTGGCTAATTTTGATTTTGAATTATTCGTGGAAGTCCAGAGAAGGTTTAAAAGGTGAATAAATATGAAAATGCTCGGAATTATATAAGAACAAACAATTTTGTTTTTCCTTTGATGTGTCCCCCGTGGGACAGATTCTTTTTGTTTGTTTTAAGTTTATTTTATACAAAAGTTTAGGTCTTTTATTTATCAATTGAGGTCTGTCACTACGAAGTCTGCCGGGTCAGCTAGTAATGAATAAAGATATAAATATACCTCATTTTTGTATAAACTTTACTAATGTTCAAAAACGAATAAGTAACTCAAAACATGGACTTTGACCCTTTGATGTGATTTGATAATGTGTCTTAGATTATATTTTATATTTACTTTTTTCAAGCTCTTTTTGTTTTTCTTTCTCTTCCTTTTCTTTTCGCCTCTGTTCCTCTTTTTCCTCCTTTTCCTTTTTTCTCATATCTTCTTTCTCTTGTTTTTGTCTGGCTCTCTCATCTTTCTCTTGCTGTCTTTTTTTCTCCCTTTCCTGTTTTTCTTTCTCTCTCTCTTCTTTCTTTTTGGCAGATTCTAATTTTTTCTGTAACTGTTATGGAAAAAGGATATAATAATGTTCTACACAGTATAAATGCAAGTCTAGATAATTTAAAGGATAAGACCTATGTACAGGTCTATTTGGGTATAACGTAAATAAAGTAAGTAAAAATAAACAAAATTCGCATGATTTTGTTCATTTCCAATTTATAAACATTTATATCACTGTATAACTGGATAATGTTCACTATTATATCTATTGGCCTCTGAAACCACTCAACATCGATTGAACCTTGCACTTGTCTACCCATCTAGAGAAATAAAAATAATATTAAATTATATACAATGATAATTAAATATTACTCTAGATGCAACAATATGTTTGTTAGTGTGTTTTTCTTTCACAACAAGCATTTTTTTTAGGGGACATTTTCGGGTTTCAGTGACAGACTAAAAATAAATAAAAAATTCTATTTCAGCTTTACATGAAATTTAGTCCTAAAGAAAAAACAAATACAATGAGACTATGTGTTGAAACAAATTATTAAGGCAAGCAGCAGAGAAACAGGGTATGGTCATAAGCTAAACTAATAATTATCAAGTAAGACAATTTTTTATCTTAATTGTAGAAGTTTCTCCCTCATCTATGACTCAATACATCAAGCTTATAATGCAGTAACATAATATTAAAAAGATATAAAGGTTTGTTATTTTAATTCAGTTTCAAACTTACTTGTTTAGGTGTTAAATTCTTTCTACCAGACATAGAGTCATTCAAAGATTCATCAGCCTGACTGTTTGTTACTGATGAACTCCTGCTATGTTTTGGTGATGTAGGATCTGAAGAGAGAGATTCATTCAAACTGGATACTGGAGACTTCTTAGCATCGTTACTTTGAGCTATTCTTGTTGCACTCCGGCTGCTCCTTTTTGGTGTTACATTATTCTGTTTTTGAATTTCAGCTGAAGCTTTTTCAGCAATCTTGTCTCTATCATCAGAAGCTTCTTCTAGTTCATCTGAAGATATACTTTCTCTATCTTTTTCATTCCTTTTTTTTAATGGATTCTCTTTTTGTGACTTTTGGTATTCAGCAGACTTTTCAATTTGTTCAATTTTATTAGATTTAGATTCTCTTGGAGATTTCCGGCCATTTGCTTTTGGCTCAATATCAGCTTCTAGTTTCATTTTAGTATCAAATTGATCACTAGAGTCCTCCAATATAACAATTTCGTTATCTGTAACTCTTGAAGTACTGTTACTTAAAATTGTCATGTCTACATTTTTTTCTGGACTATCCACTGGTTCATCAACATTCATTTTATCTTCATCGCTCTTTTCATCTGTGTCATTCTGATCATTTTTGGGTAGGTCTGTTGAATTCTTTTTTTTTATTTGCTTTCTTTTGGCACTGTTCAATTTTTGTTTTTTCTTCCAAGCAACATCAACCAATTTAACGTACGGGTTTACAATTTTGTCATCGCTTAACATTTTTTTCGAGTCTTTACTTTCATCGTCGCTTATTATGACCAGCTCTTGAACATCATTTTCTTTCGATATTTTTCCTATTTTTGTAACTGTTTCGGTATCAGAATTCGAAAGCTTTCTTTTCCTAGTCGGCGGCGACTTGGGTTTAGGGGAAATATCACTTATTAGTTTGAAAGGAAGACGAGCTTGTTTTAGCTTTTTTTTCGATGGAGTCACATCAGTTTCATCGAGGGGTTTGTTTGCTTTCATTTTATAAAGTTTATTAACCAACAAATCACAACATGAACCACTATAATTTGAATTTATTAACAATTTAATAGTTGTACTTATCTTTATAATATTTCAATAGTTTTAATTACACATTCTACTCAACTATGTATTCAACAACACGATGAACTTTTGACAGCTGATGAAATACGCGGGAGTTCTAAACGCGTTCTAAAACCTGAATCACAGTTTTATTTTATCATAAACACTATGATGTAAGATCGGAAAGTTTTACTTTGTTATTCCTTAAGTTTGATATCCAAACCATGATTAAACTCTTTTACTCTCAGAGATAAGCTGGTTTTGTTCTGGTGATTTAAGGACGAAGATATTATATTCAATTTCTTAAATTAAGTATTACTTTCTGTTTTAGGTAAATACCTATAGTTTTTTAACGCACTTAGTGATTTTTTATTTTTAAAATTCGTCCGATCCACAGGCAAAGAAGTCATAGTCCATACTACTAAATCTTTTACAAAAACCCTTACGTCTGTTGTAGGAAAAGTTAAATGCAACGGAATTTAGTGTTGGTCAAGTGCGGAATTCGTTTTATAGGTCAGGAAAGTTAGACATAATAATATGTATTCTGAATGGACCATTAGAGAATAAAAAAATTATAAGCTCGAAGCTCGTGTCTATGAAGTAATCTTTGTTTTTTTATTGCGTAGATGGGTGGACGAGCTCACAGCCCACCTGGTTGTTAAGTGGTTACTGGAGCCCATAGACATCTATAACGTAAATGCGCCACCCACCTAGAGATATAAATTCTAAAGTCTCAGTATAGTTACAACGTTTACCCCACCCTTCAACCGAAACGCATTACTGCTTCACGGCAGAAATAAGCGGGGTGGTGGTACCTACCCGTGCGGACTCACGAAAGGTCGTACCACCAGTAAAAAATAAATCTCGTATTAAATATGTAGCTCTTTAGCAAAGGGCAAGCTCTGAATATTTCTATTACGGGAGTTCCGAAATTTAAACGTCATGTAAAAGTCAGTGAATAGGTAGGTACTAATTACGAGAAAGTAAAAATGAAAAATTTGAAATGCTCAACTCCGGACGTAATAGCGGAGGTAACGTTTAAAGACTTAGAAGATTAAATACCTAATATATCATTCATAATGATTGATTCATTTTTTTTTTTTTAATTAAGAGACTAGCGCCAACTGCTGCCTCCGCGATGGAGTTTCAGGTTTTTTATAATTCATACATCAAAACAATTGAAATAAAAGTAGTAAATAATTGACATATGATTTATATGATTAATTATTTATGTTTACTTTGATTGGCATCACCGCATAAATAAACTTTCATTAATTTTATAAATCTGGCATATAAACCAGTAAAAGTTTTGCCTGTAGATTGATTGATTTACAGTGTAAGATATGTCTAAGCCAAAGTGGGATTTCAGAGACATCTCTAAAGGGCTTAAAATTTTTCGTGATATCTTGTTAGGTCGAAAACACAATCTTCACGGACGATTTCCTCCTCTTATGTCCCCGAGGTCTGTACCTACGCCAGAAATACCTCGTGGCCCGGATAACCAGTATTCCAAGCAGTATTATTATAAACGAAGCGCAATAAATTCTGTGTTTCCACCAATAGTGGCACCTGTAGCGGAAGGTCCGCCCATGAACCAAGATCCAACAAAGAAAGCACAGCCCGGTGGGATCAAGCCAGATTCGGTTCGATGAAGCTATAAATACGTATCGTAGTTACGTTTTAGCTTACTTTAGGAAACAGTATTTGCACTTGTAAAATTTAATAGCAGTTTTTATACGTACTATTATTTTGTATACGGAGCATGCATTATTGTTAAAAAAAAAAGTTTTTCATTAGTAAAGTATTTTCATACAGTGCGTCTAATACCAACGGTAAGCGATGTCGTTGACCTCGATTCCTCAGATTTTAACATTATGTATAGTTAGTTTAGTTTATCGTTTTCTTTTTATTGCCTTCGTTGGCATACGGTCCGCCTGACGGTAAGTAGTCACCATCGCTCATGGACATCGGCAATGCTAAGAGCAATACCGTCTTTACCATAAGGGCACACGGGGCCCGTGCCCAGGGCCCCCATTCTCAGGGGGCCCCGAAGGACCGACAATTTCTCTCACACATTTATTTTTAAAACATGTTTGTCGGGCACATTACACTTTTTTCACAAATCAGTAATCTTATCAGAAGGTATTTACAAGGCATATGCTACGCCATTATATCGATGACTGCGCCTATTCCTACTGTACTAACATGGAGGGTAGAGAGAGGTAAGGAGTACCTTCTCTGTGTGTAAAAAGTGTCCGTTAAAATGTGCTAAATAAGGGTGGCGCTACAGCAGCAACCAGGTAAATTTAAAAAAAGGCGCTGAAAGCTATTATAATAAGATAGAGAAACGAAGAGGACGAAAGAACTGTAAGCACTATAAAATCGCAAAAAGTATTTTATTTAAAGCTGATAAGAAAATGCAATTAATGTCTCCACATTTTACCACAGTAGGTAATAATTTTAGGTTATATTGATGAAATTTGTTTGGAAGCCGTTATCGTAATCGTAATCAAAAAACCAGCATTCTAATATCATTAATGACATAATAATATTATATCATACTGTATTTGATTACCTTTATTAAATGGTCATACTCAGTAAAAAAATGTTATTAAAATTCGCTCTTTTTACTTTCCAAAAGGGCCTCAAATTCTCGAGTGCCCAAGGGCCCCAGCCCAGTTTAAGACGTCCCTGGCTAAGAGCCTAACCACTGCCTACTGCCGAGTACTCTCCGTAAGCCTCGATTAAAGAAGGGCTTTCATACCACATGGAGGGTACTTGGAAAAAATATCTCTACAACCGCACTGTGGATAAACGCATCGGTTCCAGATAGTATCAATGAAGTCTGCTCCGGTGGCGGGAACTGAAAATGGTAAAACGAATAAATGAAATTTTATAAGACAAACACGATTTCAGGTGTGTTTCCATTGCGCTCCGACCCCTGGTCCGCCTTGGTCGTGGGACGGTCACCACTACTATGAATGCCTACCGGATCCGCCATCACCGCCATCACCGCCATCTCCGTGTCCACAGAATTGTCCTGATGACAAATAGCCAAAAGAGACACACGTAAATAATATGAAGGCACTTTAATTTGTTAAATGAAATACTATTGTTTTACATCGTTAGTTTTATTCACGTTACAATTAAAAAAAAAAAAAAACTTATATTGTTTTTGATATTCATTGCGTCCTTCGGCAGCTTTGTGAAAATTCTAGAAATCATTAACAATAAAAGAAAGTTTAAAATTCGTTTTTTAAATTGTATTGATATAGTCATGTTTCTACATATTTTAATCAGAATGCCGTCGTTTAGTTTCATGGATCATTGACGATAACCCAAGGGTTTATATAACGTTAGGCAAGCGGTCGGTCGTAAAGCTCATGCCAAATCCTATGCGGCATGATAAGACAACATTTTGTGCTTACCCTACATAGCGCGGGATAAGGACAAGACGAAGTATGTATGTAATGCAGTGATTCTGAACCTTTTTTTTGTTGCGGCACATATTTAACGATTTCAAAATTTGGCGGCACACAAAGAAAAAGATAAAAATTATTTACTTACTACCGAATCACATACATTTGCCAATTTTAACGAAAGAAAAGGTGCAGTAATTACTATGCAACACTTTGTGTATCCCAACTATCACTAAAACAACACGTTTTGTACGCAGAAGAGGCAAGTGTGCGCCGACTTGGGACATATTCCTATTGCTATGCACGCCGCTTCATCATAATTTGGCACTAAGAGAAACCGCTTTGCAAAGCAAATAATAAAATAATTTATTTTTTTGTGGATTTAAATATATATTCATGTTAAAAATATTTTTCTTTTTAAATGATATAATTTAATAATATTATTATTATATAATTGCAAAATTTGGCGGCACACTTTTGAAACTTGGCGGCACACAAAAATGCCGCGGCACAGTGGTTGAGAATCACTGATGTAATGACATCAATTATGTATCAATGGATATGATAATATTGGAACTGAAGAAATGGAATGTGAAAAGTGGGTTTGTTTATATGTTATACTTTTTGATAGGCTAGTTGCTGAAGCACAATTCAATAGTAGACATCGATTTGGACGTGCCGCTTCCTTTGCTGACGTCATAACAGACAGTAGCCAATCACCATCCGATGGTCTGTGTGCTCGACCGCTTACAAAGGCAATGAGACAATTCGAGGTCCAACACACATTTACCGGCTTTTAACTTTTTTAGCACACTTGCCTACCATTTGATATTTGTTCACACATTCGTGACGGACACAAGAACGTACCTACCTACCTAACTTAGGTAAGTCACGTTCTTCATTCATTTCAAAACAGCATAAAGGTACTAGTAGGTACGTGTTATGGATAATATAAAAACACGCTAATTTCAACAACCTCCTTATAATTAGGCCACTCTATAACTTCTATTAGCAAATTTCTTGTTAGTGAGGACTGAAGAAGGTTGGAGCTTGAATAGGTGTCAAAATTATCCAGTATAATATTACTTTGTTAAGGTTGTAAAAGTAATACTGGTAGTTCATTGGCATTTTTTCATTGAAGTCGTCGTGGCCGAAAGGATAAGACCTCCGGTGCATTTTAGCTAGCAATGCAACGGTGTTCGAATCCCGCAGGCGGGTACCAATTTTTCTAATGAAATACGAACCAAGCAAATGTTCACGATTGACTTCCACGGTGAAGGAATAACATCGTGTAATAAGAATCAAACCCGTAAAATTATAATTTACGTAATTACTGGTGGTAGGACCTCTTGTTAGTCCACACTGCCTATTTCTGCCGTGAAGCAGTAATGCGTTTCGGTTTGAAGGGTGGGACAGCTTTTGTAACTATAGACCTTGGAACTTATATCTCAAGGTGGGTGGCGCATTTACTTTGTAGATGTCTATGGGCTCCAGTAACCACTTAACAACCAGGTGGGCTGTGAGCTCGTCCACCCGCCTAAGCAATAAAAAAAAGAAAAAAGTCTGTTTCTCGAGTCAGTTTGAAGCTTTGAAGGCTCAAATGGAAAATGGCGTCATTCTCTTTAAAGTCGGTTAATAATTGGATTACGATTATGATGTCGTTCTTTTCAATACCTATTTATATTGTCCTAAATGAGCAAATGTTCCAACTGGTAATAAAGACAATGTAACAGGCGCCACCCACTTTGAGGTATTACGTGGGAGTTTCGATTTTATTGTACAATGGCGGTCCCATTTTTATAACAGAAACAAGGACGAAAACAGGATCATACGTTGGAAAAATAAACAGAACCTATTCATGATTTTTTTTTCTTTGTTGCCTGTTTTATTTTGGGAGAAGATAGAAGAATAAAATGAAATTCCGTGTAAATCCTGAGGTCGTATTGTGGTAATTCGAAGTAACTATCCATTATCTGTTCATTTACTACTAAAAAGCAGTTCTGTCTGTCTATCAGACTACAGACGTCCACAATTGGACGCGACAGAAATAGGCTCGCCCCCTACAAAAAAGATCAGTTATGGCATGTTTCTTTAACAAAGAAATCCAGGATAATAAGTGGGTTTATTTTTGTCAAACACTACATAAATTATTCGAATTATATTCAAAATCTTAAACTGAGACGCGACCATGTGTGGCGTCAATTTGTTCCTATTGAATTCTCTCTGTCCAGTCTCGGTGTTTTTAGGCCTTCCAAACATCGTTTTCGTAAAACTCGTCAAATGCGGCAAAAGGTACGACGTATAACTTAACCCATAATTACAATCCACTGAGTTTTTCACTCTCAGTGGGTCGCGATTCCGATCCGGTGGTAGTTTCAGTGAAGTACTGATCTTGTTAGGGCAGATGTTAGCAAAGTCTCTCATGCTGAGCGCCGTCAACACGCCTACACTTCCGTTGAAGCCAGAATATCCCCTCGAGGCTACAGGCAGTAGGTTGGCAAAAAATAATAATTTGTTAATTACCTACCTACCTAGTTTGTCAAAGCAAATTCATTTACGAAACACGCATATACAAATTCAAACAGGTTTCAAAATTTTAATTACGGAAAATTAATTAGTATTATATCTACCTGTTTAGTTAAAATGTTGTAATTTGTAATATAGAACGAAAGTGTACTGAACCCCAAGAATTTATTTAATGTCAACTATTCAATTTTCATTATTATTTTATTAGAACTATTTATTGATATTTTAAAACATACGTTTAGGTAACTAATCTTAAAAGCAATATCAAAACAATTGAAAACTATTTTCCTTCACTACAGTATTTTGTTAGTTTATCTAGACGTTTCTGTGGGTAGTAGTCACAAAGTAAATGTAAAATTATATTATGTTTACACTGTCGGGTAAGCAATTGAAAGACAATAACTTATTTTAAGATTCATACAATATTGTTATCAGATAAAATTGTTAACAGTCATTCCTAACTACTTGTGAAAACTTTGTATAAATATTACTCAATTCTATCATGAGACATATCAAATGCGCACAGCATATGCAAACGCAGTACAGCTTATCTCTTCTTGTAGACGACTTTTGTTTCAACTGTTTTCTAAATAGAGAAACCATAATGTCATGACTCAAATCTACTATTGGTAATAATCTATAAGTAGCTGAGTTTTATAAATGATACTTCATTTTTTACAGCCCTATACAAAATACGCAGTTGCTCTCTGCTAACATAGAATAATGACCTTAGACAGTAAAAGAGTCATTAGAAAGGACATTAAACTTTGCTTAAACCATTATCTAACCTAAATTGAACACCGATACAGACGGGAGCCGTTTTCGTTGCTTATTTAGACTTCCAACTTGTGGTAAAAATGTGGTAATAATTTATGTGAAAAACATTATCGCCATATTTACGTTTTAAAATGACGGAAGTCCTCGTGTTTTAGCCTAAAGAATAACGCCCGCTGTATCGAGCAAAGCGACTAGTGTTCAAATCCCACAGGAAGGTACCGAAGTGCTCCCAAACAATTTTCATGATAAACCAGCAAAATGATTTCCGTAATTACTGTTAAAGACCATATTGTAAACGCACACACGGGTGGTGGTAGGACCTCTTGTGAGTCCGCAGGGGTAGGTATGTACCACCACCCTGCCTATTTCTGCCGTGAAGCAGTAATGCGTTTCGGTTTGAAGGGTGGGGCAGCCGTTGTAACTATACTTGAGACCTTAGCACTTTGTATCTCAAGGTGGGTGGCGTATTTACGTTGTAGATGTCTATGGGCTCCAGTAACCACTTAAAACCAGGTGGGCTGTGAGCTCGTCCACCCATCTAAGCAATAAAAAAATAAAAAATCTCACCATCCCGTCCATTTTTATACAATACAATTGTGATTAAGATTATGTCTTAATATGGAAGGTGATATTTAGTTTGTCTCGATATTTATTTAGCACACTTCGATCAATAATACTACTATTATTCATCGAAGCTAGCACAAGGTATGCTAAATGAGCTCGTCTATCTATTTACGGAAAAAAATAAAAGTATGGGTGTCTATAGTTACTTTATGCAAGATGACCCGTGATCATGGCAAAAACGAAAAACGACTTTAAGAAGAAAAAAAATAGAATATCATAAATCTATACAAAGTAATATAAATATGCATTATTGAGGATATCAAAAACTATTTAATTGGTTAGATCTTGATAATTTCAATAGGAACATTATTTCATTTAAAAAAGAATTATCAAAATAGATTTAGACCTAGACAGCAGTTCGTCGAATTAATAATCGTTTTGAGAACCACCTCCTTTTTTGAAGACGGTTAAAAATGAGAAAATTATAGTATCCGTAGGTGGGTAATATGACCATGCAGACCATGCCACGAGTTAACTAAAATACCCGCTTCATATTACTATGATTAGGGTCATTACTCAAACGGTCCTTAAATGATCTTAGACTTACGTTTCCCGTAGTTAAAACGTTAGATGACCCAAAAATATGATCTCAACCTCAATCGAGTTGCAATTTCTGTTACAATATTTGCTTAGAAGAAAACCGAGTTACTTTTCGATTTATTTAAGAGTTCTAAGATAGTGAGATGGTACATAACAATATCAATATAGCAAAAAAATAAATAGAAAATATATTTTGTCACACTTTAAGGATAAACTAAAGAGAGAGAGAGAGAGAGAGTGACATCTGTTTTCGTAGGTCCTTCAATACAACTTTCTGTTTACTAATTACGACGCTAAAACCTTGTTAGTGCTAATAAATTATTCACAATACACTCTCAATAGTTCTAGAGATCGCTCGTGCATTATGATCACAGTGTGCAAAGCATAGGACATGCAGTGAGTACGTCGGCGCATGACCGAGCATCCGTCAGCTAGCCCGGCAGCCAGTGCCATCACACAGTACCTCCGTCGCTGTCAACGCAGGCACACGCTTCCCAGCCCAAACGAGATCCCCTCTAACAGACTAACAAGCAATAATGACCGACACCACCCCTAAGCCTAAATCCAGGGCCCGCGAAAATAATTGAGCGAATACACACGGGTTATGGATCAAAATAATAATTCCAAAAATAAATATACAGTGTGATCATTTTGGGTTTGGGTGGCGGAACATTATTTGATAGTGATTTGTCAGGTTTGAGTAAAGAAAAATTTATAAAAATGAGACAAGACAGCGATGATACCGCCCTCGCAGAACGCGTCCGGGCGTTCAAGAGTGACCCGGAAAAGGTGCGCGAAGCAACAGAATTTGTTGATCAACTCATTCAACAAGCGAAGAAAGAGGCAGAGCTTAAACAAAAAGAGAAAGACAGAAGTAAATTCGTAAGTATCAATGTATATTACTCCTGAATAGAAATAAACGGAATTGATAGGGCGGTAAGTGTTAAAAGGGGTGCATCAAGATTGCGAAAATTTGGCTTCTTCAATTAGCAGAGCTATCAATCATGAAACATCAATTTTAAAATAAGTAAAAAAACTACGAACTACGCTACATTTATATCAAAATGCAATAGGTGTTTGATCGATAGCTAGCTGGGTCAATACACTAGTCTTTAGTAGGGAACATGAACGTAGGTAGTTAGTCTCACAGTTACCTGCAAGCTTTAGTTGCTATGATAGTAGCACTTAATATATCTATGTATATAATAAAATACTAGCATAAATTGTTTCAATTTATTTATTTATTGCTTAGATGGGTGTACGAGCTCATCGCCCACCTGGTATTAACTGGTTACTGGACCCTATAGACATTTACAACGTAAATGCCGCCACCCACCTTGAGATATGAGTTCTAAGGTCTCAGTATAGATACAGCGGCTGCCCCAACATTCAAACCGAAGCGCATTACTGCTTCACGACAGAAATAGGCGTTTCACTTGGAAACGACCTAGTTCATAGTGGATGCGCATTAAATAGCCTAAATAAATACTTTGAAGTCGTCGTGGCCTAAAGGATAAGACGTCCGGTGCATTCGTATCTTGCAATGTAATGGTGTTCGAATCCCGCAGGCGGGTACCAATTTTTCTAATAAAATACGAACTTAACAAATGTTCACGATTGACTTCCACGGTGAAGGCATAACGTCGTGAAAAAAAAATCAAACCCGCAAAACTATAATATGTGTAATTACTTGTCGTAGGACTTCTTGTGAGTCCGTACGGGTAGGTACCACCACCCCGCCTATTTCCGCCGTGAAGCAGTAATGCGTTTTGGTTTGGAGGGGGGGCAGCCGTTGTAACTATACTGAGAACTAGAACTTATATTTCAAGGTGGGTGGTGCATGTACGTTGTAGATGTCTATGGGCTCCAGTAACCACTTAACACCAGGTGGGCTGTGAGCTCGTTCACCCATCAAAGCAAAAAATAAAAATACTTGGTACCGAAATTTAAGTTTTCTCTCAATTTACTTACATACTTATCTATATTGTCTAGATGTGTCTAAAATAGCACGCATCTATTTTAGTGAAACTATGAGTGGTTTTTTTTAAGTTTCAAAGATAAATATTTAGAAGTCTCGTTTTTGCAAATTTATGATTGTGTTTATGACTTTGTTCTGTGCATTTACTTTTACAGTCTCTCCTAAATTCGGTGTATGATATAATCAAATGTAACTAATCTACACACCTAAATAAATAAAGGTTTTTGACTTTTATCAACTGATTAAATCGGGCTACTGTCTACAGTCTACAAGAAAATAGCGAAATTTTATGTTGGGCTGGTATCATTTTGAATTGCGTGCTTCAACTATTTTGGGTTTATCTGTAAATTTAATTTTATTTGAGTGCTTTCGCTTAAGTACCATTTTTTTATTGTTACAGGACGCACAAGATCAAGGCAGTGGTAAGTAAACAATATTTTATTAATAAACCATCCAATACTGACCAGCAATAAAGTCTAATCATAGTGCTGCGTATGACATTCTTCATCGTATGTACATTGCTTGATCACAAGCATCCTCGACTGACTATTTTAACATGCCTGCAAGTTTCATTTCATCAAAACCAAAGTAATTGTAAGTATGATTATGTAATCTCGCATCACTTACCAGTTTGACAGTTGAAGTCGTCGTAGCCTAAACGATAAGACCGGTCAGGTGTCCGGTGCAATCGTATCTAGCGATGCAACGGTGTTCGAATCCCGCAGGCGGTTACCAATTTTTCTAGTGAAATATGTACTTAACAAATGTTCACGATTGACTTCCACGGTGAAGGAATAGCATCGTGTTCTAAAAATCAAACCCGCCAAAATTATAATTTGCGTAATTGCTGGTGGTAGGACCTCTTGTGAGGCCGCGCGTGTGGGTACCATCACCCTGCCTATTTCTACTGTGAAGCAGTAATGCGTTTCGATTTGAAGGGCGGGGCAGCCGTTGTAACTATTGTATACTGAGAATTAAGAACATATAGGTATCTCAAGGTGGGTGACGCATTTACGTTGTAGATGTCTATGGGCTCCCGCTCCAGTAGCCACTTAATACCAGGTGAGCTGTGAGCTCGTCTACCCAAACAAGCAATTAAAAAAAAATTTACAGTGGATGGTTACTACAAATTTCTACCTTTTATTAAAAACTATTAGTTATTATATATATATAAGCGTCACCGTTACCGGGATCCGATGGCTTGAATTTGTGATTAATATTATTTCACTACGCCTAAAAACATTATACAATTATTCATATAAATCTCATAACAATCGTGTCCCAGCAACAATGGAAATACTGAGGTAATCATCGCAAAAACTAAAATAGTTGCTATAAAAGATAATGATGTTCCATTAGATTTAATATTATTCATCTGACAGAAAATGAAGCACTGAACATTTAGAAGAATGAGTATCAGTCTCATTATAAATTCAGATAGCAGTTGCTTACGGTCGAGCGTTAAGGACATTGTATTTTTATTGTCTCGTTGAGAATAACAAAAAAATTAATGAAATAATGTGATGAGTTATTCAAGATACGACGCAGACATGTAACAAAAAAAGAAAAAAGAATTGCAAGCAAACAATTTTGTTTAATGAATTTTAAATTCAATATGCTCCGGAGAATTGAAGTCGTCGTGGCCTAAAGGATAAGATGTACGGTGCATTCGTATCGAGCGATGCAACGGTGATCGAATCCTGCAGGCAAGTACCAATTTTTTTAAAGAAATACGTACTTAACAAATGTTCACGATTGACTTCCACGGTGAAGCAATAGCATCGTGTAATAAAAATCTAACCTGCAAAATTATAATTTGTGTAATTACTGGTGGTAGGACGTCTTGTGAATCCGCACGGGTAGGTACCAGCCACTCTGCCTATTTCAGCTATGAAACAGTAGTGCGTTGCGGTTTCAAGAATGAGTTAATTGTAAAATACCATTGAAGTTTGGACCTCGTGTTTCAAGACCCGCGTGGGTTCATGTTGTGATGTCTATGGACTCTGCTAGCTTCTTCCATCGATTAAATAGTGTACCAATTCAAGGCGAAATCATTTAATGTAAAATAGTGATAAGAACCCGTCAAACAATAGTGTGTGATTACTGATTACACAAAAAACCCCAGATAGGCGCGAAAATTTCAAATAAGCATTATTTTTGCCCACACGTATTTCAATTACGTAGAAACGAATTGTCGCATAGGAAGTATTTCATCTCCGTTCACAATTGTTTCCTTTTCATATAGTTCGCCACAGGAGCGCCTACTGTATTTTATTTTATGCGTTTTTCCTTTTACGTCTAACTTTGTGTATCAAATTATGCTGTACTATTTTTCGTGGTATCAGGCTACTATATTATTAGTAAAAAATTGTTTCGTTTATTTCAAATAGACTGGCCCCACAAATAGGCTACATGACGATCACTAGCACTCTGTCAAAAGTGAAACGATAAGAAGAAGAAATTGCAAGATATTCATAACTAAAACATATGCGCATAAATATAACAACATAGTATATAGCTTATATAGCGAAATATCATTTAATCAGAACGCGGCAGCACAAAATTTAATTGGGTGAGTGGGTTAGTTAATATTGTCGTTAGCTATGTTGTCATCAGATTTTGACTACATAGGTACATATATGCCTAAGCATACAGTTGCTGACTACCTACTGTTTGATTTCTTACGTGGTAGAAACAGTATGTTTTACTTTTCTTTTTAAATAATGTGTTTATAGCAGTGAGATTTCCAAATCTAGTTATTGGTAGTTCAATTTTTAACAATTAATATTTTCATTAATTTACAATCGATTTTCATGTCCATAAAACTTAAACTTAGAGTTTTATATCAAACCAAGGTTACATCATATTAAGATATTCTTGATGTTTATTTCTAACGTGATTTTAAAGTAAAATTAGTATCGCTTTTATCTCTGACGTCTGTCCCTAACCGACGCTTCTGAGAACCCGAAATAATTTGTAGAGGTCAAATGAAAATACTCACAACTTAAATGAAATTTATTTTCCTGTAACCTGAATTGATATTTTATATCAGTCCCTTTCTTTTCGTCTTTACGATCTTTATCCACTTCCCCAAATACCTTTCTTTTTTTATTGCCCTTATAGGCAGACGAGTATACGGCCCACCTGGTGGTGAGTGGTTACCGTCGCCCATGGACTTCAGCAATGCCAGGGGCAGAGCCAAGCCGCCGCCTACATTCGTAAGGACATAGTAACAAAGGAAAAGAACAACATACATACCTACGATTGCAATAGTGTACCATTACGAGCAAATTTTTTGGACCTCTCTACAATGATTGACAAAAGGTCAATCTCGAAAATATCATGGCCAGGACGCTGTTGGAGCTAGTCCTAGGATATAGTATAGCACACTTGGTTATCTTTTCTTCGTGATTCCTCACATTCTCAGCAGCACAGGCATTGATTAAGTGTGTCTCCACTTGGTACACTGATGTATAACATCTGAAACTATAATAGTTGCTATGATTATCCGAGTATATGTCAGCGCTCGTTTCTAGAATTTGCTTGGAGCCATTATGGTTCCAAATGAGTGAAAATCCTTTTTGCCACTTAGTTCTTGTAAAAATGTGCATATGTTCTTATGAGATATTTTGCTATTCAGGTATTCTGGCATTCGATAGTCCAATTATTTGTCCATCATAAGGATAGTCTTCCTAGTCTCTATTCACTGTAAAAAAAATTATAACTCAATAAGCAAACAGCAGGTAAAGGCCAGTTGTTCTTTAGGCCTACAACGGTACTGACTATTTGAAGATTCGATTTTGTTGTGATATACTTATTACGAAGTTTCCACGACAATTCCTGCGACATCCATCAAGGCTTTCTCGGTAAATACGTTTCGTAAATGAGAAAATAACATTTTCTTTATGTTCGTATCTGAAAATGGTGTTGTGTTTTTTTTTCTTCTTTGATATGTATTTTGTTATGTATTGACAGAGTCTGAAGATGTTTTTCTGAAGATATTTACATTTATTTATATCACTACATAGTATAAAACAAAGTCGCTTTCTCTGTCCCTATGTATGCTTAAATCTTTAAAACTACGCAACGGATTTTGATGTGGTTTTGAAGTGAAAACTTCTTTAGAATCGTTGTGATTTCAAACCGGATACAACGAAAAAACGACAGGTAAGAGACACAAATATAAAAATGTGTAGGATGAAGCCAGCAAAGAATGAGACAGAAATATACATACTATTTAATACAGCGCCATCTGTGAGATTTTTTAATACTAACGTGTGTATGAAAGCTCTTGTAGTGAATTTTAATTTAGGATTATACGTGAAATTAAAATATCAATTCACAGAGGGCGCTACCTTACAATTATTTACTAATGACAAAATTTTACATATACTTAAGACGTTTAGGATAATTGTATTTTAATTTTGGAAGGTTTCACTTCTACCACGTGTGAATTGCACACATTTTGTTTTTTTTCTTAGATAAGGGACTTGATTAAAGAGGGGAAAAGTGTTTATATCTATGATACATTCTATTAAATAGGGAGAAATCAATATACATACCGCAGTTTCCGAGCGAAGCGAGGCGGGTCGCTATGATTTTTTACTAAAAAAATACTTACAAACTTAGCATTACGGTGTTTAATTCGGATTTTTTATGTGGCATAATATTTCTTAAATGCGGGCAAGATCGAGGGCCGCTGGCGGGATCGATTACCAAGAGTAAAAATCATTGTCGAATTGTATGGAAGGTCACGACCCTCAGCATGAGGAAAACGACCGCGCGAAGAGGAGAGAGAGGATGTGTTGAATCGAATTCCCTACAATTTTTGCGAACCTCACGATACGGACTTGGTCTGAATTTGTGATTTGTCATTAAATTTAATTGTACTAATTATGTATCGTCATCTTTTTAGTATTTAATTGTTCTTAATGTGCAAAGAACCACTTTCGAAATTAAATCCAAGAATGTTAAATTCGTGCCAATGACTAGCTGCACTGTTTTAATTGGGGGCTATAGATAGGCAGGACGATGATCACGGCCCCACCTGGTGCTCAAGAGAGTTAGCGGACTCCCATAGACATCAACAAGTTAACCCACCATTCTGCCCACATAACATGAGTTCTAATGTTTTCTGTTGCTTAGATGGATGGACGAGCTCACAGCCCACCAAGTGGTTACTGGAGCCCATAGACATCTACAACGTAAATGCTCCACCCACCTCGAGATATAAGTTCTAAGGTCTCAGTATAGTTACAACGGCTACCCCACCCTTCGAACCGAAACGCATTACTGCTTCACGGCGGAAATAGGCGGGGTGGTGGTACCTACCCGTGCGGACTCCCAAGAGGTCCTACCACCAGTGATTACGCAAATTATAATTTTGCGGGTTTGATTTTTATTACA